TCTTTAGTTACATACACACTTTTCTTTTTGATAAAGCTTATAGTTAGAGTGGCTCAGGTTATACTGAGCTATCACTATAGATATGCTGCTATAGGCGTAGACTTCTGGAGGACATAGGGACCCCTATTTCATTCTGCTTCATTCTATCTCTATTCTTCCACTCTGAAGAATCTGTTAGTTCAATCTCTAACATTCTGCTCTCTCTGCTGTTTCCCATAGTAGCTTTGCCTCATCTGTTCCTGTCTGGCTGTGACTCCATCCTGGAGACAAATATCAGCTGCGCTGCTGCTATCAACACCCTTGTTTATAGATGTTGGAGATCGGCCTGTTTTTCAGTTTAGTCTTGTTTCTCTGACTGTGACTGGCTGGATGTGCTCTCTTCATCCTCTGACATGGGAGCTGGCTGTGTGTTTTCTGGATGGGCCGCCTGTGGAGCTGGTTTACAGCTGCCTTTTGTATCTCTGCTTCTGTCTCCTTGAACCCCAGTCGGCCTCAGCAGATGGCAGCTCACACTGATTCTGGTTCTGCTGGAGGTTTCCTCCTTTTAAAAGGGAGTTTTTCCTCTCCACTGTTGCTACAAGAATGCGTAGTGTGAGGGATTGTATTTGAGTCAATGAGTCAATGCAATCAACTGGTTTTCCTCAGATAGAAAACTTTGTATTAATTTGACTGTATGATCTGGTGAACTGTAAAGTTCCGGGAGATGACTTGTGTTGTGAATTGGTGCTATATAAATAAACTGAATTTGTTGAATACATAGTAGTATAGTTCAGTTGGGTTTCACTAGCTTAATCAAACATTTTTAACTGAAATATATTTGACTCGGAGTTGAATGATTTTTGTTAATAAATTATTATTGTGAATGGAATTTGTTGTGAATTAATTCCAGGTGTGCAGAGTTATCTGACCATGATTTGGGATTGAATCATTCTTTTATTTGTTGTCATTATACCAAGACAGTCTGAGTGTTTTTACAAAAAAACATATGAGAGTCTGAAAGGCATTAAACAAAATAACATAAAGTAAAACACTCAAAAAGTGTAAACCTCCGCCAAGTGGCTAATTTCCCCCAACATATTGTGACTTCCACCTTAAGTTAATTTCTGTATTCACAAAACCTTTCCTGGATCTTTCCTGGAATTCCTGGATCCAGATGATTACCTGTATCATCACCAAAATTTAATGGATCGTTCCTGAAAGACTATTAAAAGTTGTTTTTTAAATCAGTTAATCTTTTTTCACGTTATCCTGTACACAGAAATACAAACACACAAACTCTACTTAAAACACAACCTCCTTGGCAGAGGTAACAGCATTTAATTGCATAACACTGGTTTTTAGGGGAAGCAGTCTTGGGAAAACAATAAATATTAGCCTTAATATGAGAATTCACTGAAAATAAAAATGTTTCATGTTATTAATGGTGCCATTAATAAAAGAAAATGCACTCAACTCACAAAAATATGAATGTCAATAATGTGAATAATTACATGTATCATTTCTTTATTTAATGCATTAAATATACAATTAAATTATTTTATGCACAAGATGATAATTAAAACGGCAATAAAATGCTTGAGTATATATTTGAAATTATGCAAATAATAATAATAAGTAGTTATAGATGAATTCTTAGAAATGCTCTTTAGTTATTTCACTTTTTCTTAGATGCCTATAGAGCTAAACAGAATGACATACTTGGGAAAGAGGGTTGGTACTGATGTTCCAAATTAACATGGTAAAGGAGATTATAATCAGGTGTCAGGTGTCCTGATCTGATCACAGTCAACATCTGGATCCAAAACTGTCAATTATAGCGATTAGACAGTTCTTAATGCAAAGACCTCCTAGGACACCATTGGGCAATAAAATCCTTCCCTACAAGGACCCTATGGTCCAAAAATGTAGTATCTCTTATCGCATATATTGATTTATCCTTTTGAATCACTATAAAACTTTTCACTCAGTCTCTTTCACCTGCAAGTCCACACAATTCCACACAATTCCTGTGCGCGAGGGTCTAGGCGTGTAGACCAGGCTTAGCTTCTTCCGAAAACAAGCAAGATTCTTTCTCAAGGATTATTCATAACACGTTACTGTTAACAAAACTGTCTGTCATTTTTTTATTTTGACTCTGACTACTTTCTAATATTGTAAGTAAGGGGAACACACTCTGTCCAGGCAGAACAGGGCTGATTAAAAAGCGAAAAAGTCTGTATGATAAACTGTTCTCTCTTTGCAAAGATATAAAAAATAAAGTGCCGACTGAGTGAAATCCATCAATCTCTGCTTAATTAACTGTGGTGAATAGTTGAATACTTTTTCCCCACTACAGCCCTCAGATCAGCATGCAGGTTCATGTGTATTCATCCATTTGCATTGTATTGGATCAACAGACTCTATAAGAACAGGTTCCTGTGTTTTGCTTCACAGGTGGTTTAAGCTGATTTAAGAGAGGCTGAAAAGCAACACATGGTTTCCCTATCCAGCCCCCAGGAGAGTCATTCTTTACCTGTCATATTCAGACTGTAGCGCCTGCCACGATCAGGGCAGGAGCAGCAGATATAGTTACACAGAAACGTAGCAAAGCTTAATTTTTCGATTGACAGGAAAATCTGCAGTCGGGGGCAACTGATGAGCATTTGTTTTTATGGCAGCTGGTGACACTGGTCTACATCACCACTGAGAAGCTGACCCATGAAACTGTAGTTGTTTTTTGTTTTTTACTGATCTGACAGCATCTGCTTATTCTGTTTATTTTGAAATAAACTAAATTATTCAAACATATTACTGAGGATAGTGCTTGTATCTAAGAATGCACACGGTCACTAAATGAGTCTTCATTGAAATATCTTTCACTGGAGTATGCCAGAAGATGCTCCAAAGTCACCAAATCCCTCAAAGAAAGCCATCTTTCTTTGGTCAAATTCATTGAAGTTGTATTTATAATTATGTTTCTTGCTAAATAAAGAGAATCCAAAAGGGTATATTTACTATTAAATAAACAAAAGTAGAACGGAACAACTTTTATGAGACCTGATCTCTGTTTTGCACATTTCCCTGTGATTAATGTTTCTCCCTGATGGAGGGAAAGAGAGCCAAGTTGTTTTCTGACTCAGATCTGCATAAAAACAGAACAGCTCACTGAAATGAGTAAATAATCCATTCCCTAGATTAACCTTGTTTGGAAAAAAACAGAAGCTGTATGCTAAATTTGAAATGGGTAGAAGTTCACTTACCTTTTATAAGAACTGAACTGGTTCTAAATTCCTTTAAAAAAAGTTCTTCAAACGTTGAATCCAAGGAAGAAATCCTCTGGAAGTAGTGTTTCCTTCTTGTTGTCTCCTGCTGTAAATATTCCCATATCTCAGAACTCTCTCCTTCTGCTTTGCTCAGCCCCTTATTCCATCTGTTTCACCTCTCTGTTTACACCCCCTCTCACTCCAGCTCTGGAGACACCCCTTGTTCTGCTCAGTCTTTTTTTTTTTTTAAGCAGTGTCCTTTCTGGCAATGTGGCAATAAGAATAATTGTCTTGATGCCAAAAAGAGCCCAACAGATTTTGCTTTCACAAGTGGAGCAGTATGGCTATCGCCATAGTG